GAGAGAGAGAGATGCGAGACGAGAGCAGACGAGAGAGATGAGAGAAGAGAGAGAGAGTAGAGATGAGAGAGAGAGAGAAAGCGATAGGAAGATTGGAGAAGTCAGGAGAGAGAGAGAGAGACGAGGAGAGCGAGAGAGAGAGAGGAAGAGAGAGAGCAGAGAGAGAGAGGGTGGCGCGCGAGAGGCAGAGAAAGAGAGAGAGCGAACGAGAGAGAGAGAGAGTGCGCGGCGCGAAGGGGTAGGAGAGAGAAATAGAGAGAAGAGAACGAGAGGAGAAAGCACGCGAAAGAGATAAAAGGCATAGAGGGAGAGAGAGAGAGAGGCGAGAGAGAGGGAGCTGAGAGAAAAGAGAGGAGAGAGAGAGAGAGAGACATCGGTTCAGTTGTTTTCATGTTGAACTTTTAAGTGTCACCTTTCGATGTGTGGCGGGTGTGCAGCAGATGATAGCGCTCGGCGGCTGAGCCGACAGATGGCAGCGTCATATTTCAATATAACTAATGATACTATCAGGATACTATGTTAATGCTTTTTACCGGCGCGATAATTCCGCCATTATGATTGCAAAACATATCTAATGGTACGATCGTCCCGGCAACAAAAAAATATTTAAAAAATCAAGCGTTTATTATGATACTGGGTCGAGTGGTCGTAAATTATCTTCATGAACCATCATTTTCATGTGTCCAACCCAGAAAATGTCATAATAATATTTTCTCAGGGGACACTTAGATTCAAATTACGAAGCAATCAAATCGCCCATGATCATGTGAAATTACGAGACCGACGCCCACCAATTCGATCAGTGGTTAGCGCAGCCTTGTTATGTGTTTTATTTTAATTGCGATAGGTGGTTAGCCCTTCTCTCCAAAAACACATTCTTACTGAAATGGATAACGGCACTAAGTACGGCTGAGAGGGTCTATATCCCCCAGGGTACTGCCGGAACGTACCCTGGTACTATCTGTAATATGATGCCGGACACGTAACTCGCGCTACTCAAACTGAACGGAGTCTACGGGATGTCGCCTACGCCTACTCCTAACCCTAGATGCCCTAATCCTATCCCTAACCCTAACATATAAATAGTTTACCCAGGTACTTCGATATACGCGGACCGTTACACAGGGTAGTTCGCTGCGTACCCCTGGGGGACGATGACTCTAATGAGCTCAAGTACGTGGGCCTGTTAACTATTCCGAGAATAACGGACGTGGTGTGTGTGTGGTGTGTGTGTGTGTGTGTGTGTGTGTGTTTTGTGTGTGTGTGTGTGTGTGTTGTTGTGTGTGTGTGTGTGCGTGTGGTGTGGTTGTGTGTGTGTGTGTGTGTGTGTGTGTGTGTTGTTAGTGTAATGTTGTGGTGATGTTGGTAGGTGTGTTTGTGTGTGTGTGCGGTGGTGCGTGCGTGCGTGCGTGCGGCGTGCGTGAAATGCGTGTGTGTGTGCATGTGTGTGTGTGTGTGGTGTTTGCGTGTGTTTTGGTGTGTGTGTGTGTGTGTGGTGTGTGTGTGTGTGTGTGTGTGCGTGCCCCGTGCGTGGCTGCGTGCGTGAGTGCTGGCACGCGCGTGTGTATGTGCTTGTAGCCCCGGCAAGAAGCTCTGTATGAGCGAATTAATAAGAGATTTACAACATTTGCTACTAATCTATCTGTATCTAGATCTAACACTACTATATACTTATCTTGTAAATTTATTCGATAGTTACTTTCGATGGCGAGTTTCAACCCTCTCTACTATATGTGTGACCCCAATAGAAAGATTGTATTCCCTACTAGAAAGTAAAAGAAAGCTGTTCTTTGCTGCATGCTGAAACTACTCGCGACCCTGTTCTCTATACTTCTTCCTACAAGATACAATCTTCTCGCATGTGTTTCCGTCGGCTTTGCTCTCTCACTTCCCGATATCTTCCTATGCGCTCTCGCGCTCTTCCTCTTTCCCTCGCCCCCTTTCCCTCACGCTTCATATACGCTCGCTCCCCCTTCCTCTCACGCCTCTCACTTTCGCGTTCACCCTTCCACTTGCTTCCCATTATCAGATCGGCACGTGATTACTTCCTCATCAGCCTTCCCAGGATCTCACTCGTACACTGACGTCTGTATCTCTCCTACACTAATTATTATATAGACATTGTTAGATGTTGATACTTTAACGAATCCATTGACGTGCCCGCGATGTCCCTCAACACCCAACCCACAGCACCCCACCGACCGCCCCGGCCACCCCACCAGCACCCTCACTGCCGACCCCAACCACCCCAAACCAGCCCCGCCAACCCGACCCCACCCCACGCCACCGCGCACCAGCCCCACCGACCCGCCACCCACCCCACTACCGCCGCCACCATAACCACACACCCCTACACAGATCTCGCCGCCACACAAACGGCCCACGCCCACCGCACTTACCGCCGCCACACAACCCACCCTAAGCGCAATCCCCCATTACCGCGCCACCCCATTCCCATACACTACCGCTTGGCACCCAACAAACCTTATCCCACCCAACCCCGCCACTAACGCCGCCACCCCGCCCAACCCAGCCCAACAACATTACCGCCCCAGCCCCCACCACCACAACCACCGATTACCGAGGAGCCTCCCACCCCACCCCTCCGCAATCCAACGCCCATTATGCCGCCCCCTACGCAGCAACAACCCCGCAGCCCCCCACCCCAACTCCCCATTTACCGCCGCCCCCGTACCACTCACAACCGTCGCCCCACCCCACCACTCCGACCCCATTACCGCCGCTCACCTACCACCCACAACCCGCCCCACCCCACCCACCCAACCCCACATTTACGCCGCCACCTACCACCACAAACCCCGCCACCCCAACCACCCCAACCCACTATTACTGCCGCCCCCTACCACACAACTCCCGCCCACCCTCACCCCACCACCCCAACGCCCCTCATTACCGCCTGCCCTACCACCACAACCGTCCGCCCCACCGCAGCCCACCCCAACCCCCAAAATTACGCCGCCGATTGATCGTGGTTGGGAATAAATTGCTAAAGCGAATCCCATTCTGCTGAGTTAAATTCAAATTAAGAGAAATGCCTCGAGTCGCGCGAGGTCTGCGCGGCCGTGCGTCCGCCTACGCTCACCGGAAACGCGAGAACTCCTGCACGCAGAGAGAGTAGAGGGAGAGGAGGCGGATGAGGGGGAAGGAGGGGAGAGAGAGATCGAGAGAGAGATCGAGAGAGGGAAAGAAGGGGATGAAAGGGGGATGGTAGGGAGAGAGGGAGAGAGAGGAAGAGGAGGATATGGAGGGGAGAGAGGGGAAAGAGCGCGCGCGAGAGCAAATGGGAAAGGAGAGAGGGGAGAGAGTGGGAAAGATATCGAAAGAAAGCGAGAGATAGAGAGAGAGAGATTGCGCGATTTAAAATAAGTAGGTCTAAAATCATCGGAAAAAGAAATTTATTTATAACCGCAACTTCGCGTGCGCGAGCTTTGACAACAGTTACGCGATGTTACGCTTGGCGACAGCTGCAGCAGACGCAGCCAGCTTTTCTTTAGCGGCTGCCCGCTCCACCCCATAGCCTATAAACGAGAACTCGGGCTCGCAAAATGGATTTCAAAAAGCCCCCCAGCTGCATGCATTCGAAATCCGGGGAGAGCGAGTTTATCTCGCACATGTGCTGTCAATTTAAGCGTTTCGGCCCGAGAGAAGGATGATTTCTCAATACTGAATTAATTTGTGCGGACTGTAAATCATTTTGAGGAAATTGGAGATGCTGCCGATAATTTTCACGTTGTCCTTCATTACGAGGCGGGCAAACACGTATTGCTGTATCTTCTGCTGATGAGCAAGTGAAAGAGTTAAAGAGAGAAATATAGAACGAGAGAGAGAAAGAGAGAAGAGAGAGAGCGAGAGAGAGAGAGAGAGAGAGAGAGGGGGGGAGAGAGAGAGAGAGGGGGGAACAAGAATGCGTGTCAACTGAACATATTCTCACACTCGGTCTTTGACGTTTTTGGCTTTATATTATAATTCGTTTTGCGTCCTAGGTGATTTGAATTTGCACCCCAAAGCTCGTGGTTTTGGCTGCGTCTGCGACAATCGTAGTTTTATTAACTACGCGCGCGCGAATGTTTAAATGCGCTTACACAAATGTATGCGCGAATGCACTTATTATGTGTACTTTGGTTAATTATTTTGAATATTTCGTAAATACTAAATAAAGAAAATAAAAGTCTGTGATTTTTAACGCACCGGTGTAATAATCCGTGCTTCGATCGTTTTCCAGGACAAATCTAGTTAATAATCTGACTTTTCGTTTTTTCCCCGTGGGAGAGCAGTTATGTGTGTGTAATCGCCTCTGATGTCTGTCTGATCTCTATTGCGATTGTCGCAGCGGCCTCGCGACAACACGTTATTTCAATTTGCTATCGCTCGCAAATCTCTCTTTCTCTCTCTCCCTCTCTCTCTCTCTCTCTAGTAACCTATACTAGCGTAACATACCCAGTATATGTACATGTAAGCTATACTAGCGTAACTTACCCAGTACATGTACATGTACTATAATAACTTTCTCAGCACCTTTATATGTAACCTATACTAGCGTAACATACCCAGTACATGTACATGTAACCTATGCTACTGCAGTACTATTTACTCTTGATGTGACCTATGCTACAGTAACTCGATCACCCCGTACATGTACATGTAATCTCTACTAGCGTACATACCCAGTATATGTACCTATACAGGTACATGGACATGTACATGGACATGTAACCTATAATACGGTAACTTACCCATACATATATGTAATCTACTAGAATAACTTACTAGAAATTCTATAATATTTACACCCGGTGTAAGCTATACTAACATCACTTACCCAGTACAATAGTATAATATAAAACAGTATAATATAATAGAGCTATACTAACATTACTTACCCAGTATAATAGTATAATATAATACAGTATAATAGAATAGAGCTATACTACAGTAATAACTTACCCAGTACATGTACGTGTACGCTATATTAGCATCACTCACCCAGTGCTGGCAAAGTTTGTCCAGTAGGTGATGACGGACTCGCTGAGAAGCTTCTCCTGGCGCGAGTAGTTGCCGACGAAGTGTCGCAGTCCGCTACCGCCGACGATCGGCGCTCCGAACACGTACTGCAGCTCGTCGCCGTGAATGCAGCCGACGTCGTCGCCGACGTCGCCGCGGCGCGTCTGATAGCTAAACACGTAGAAGTAGGTGTCGATGTGCACGTACGTGTGCAGGTTCCCCGCCTCGACGACGGGCGCCACGAACTGCGAGTCGCCGAACGCTTCCAGGAGGCTGCCGCGGAGCGTCTGCGGATGCTGAAAGGGTTTCTCCCAATCGGTGTACTCGTTCATTACCGACCAGTAGAGCTCGTTCTGGTGGTAGACGAACAGATTTCGCACGAACGTCCGCAGCAGGCCGCTGCGTCGGCGGTCGTCGATGCCGCTGCGCGTGTCGTTGGCATTGAAGAAGTTGTACGCCTCCTCCTTGGCGACGCCGAAGAGGAGGTCGTACATGCCGAAGCGCGAGTTCTCCCACGTCATCAGATGCAGCGGGTCCTTCTTGACGGTGATGCCGTCGACGGCCGGTCCGAACGCCGTCAGGTACGTCGGCGCTTCGATGTCGATTCGCATGTACGCCTCGACGGGTTTGCGACGCAAGCATTGCATGTCGATGGCGGGTTTGCCGTCGGCGCCACGCGGGTAGCAGTCCAGCTCACGAGCGACTCGTACGGCATACTGCTTCGGGTTTTCGACCATGGCCCAGCTGGAGAGAGCCGATCCGCTCATCATGATGGCTCGGTGGAAGAGACGCAGACCTGTAGCAGCAATATATATATATATATATA